CGGCCGCCTTAAAAAGCTTCAGTTGTGTTCTAGAGGCTTCTGTGAACAGTACAGTTTGTTTCTTTAACCCACCGCAGTCCTCATTTGATATCCAGCCAGAGTTCGATCACAGCACAAGACGTTCCAACAGTTTCAGACCCAGCAGGCTGACCATTGTGCTGAAGTCAGGAACAAAGTATAGTCTGGAGTGACCGCGGTTATAATCAGTTAGCACTAGCCTCGGCTTCTGCTGAAGGCCACATGACTTGGACGTGATAAGGCTCCAGCTCTTCTGGGGCAACGTAATCTGGAGCGTTGCTCATCAGGTCTCTTCCCTTGAAGGATTTGGGAAAGGCGATGACGTCTCGAATGCTGGGGGCCCCAACGATGAGACAGATTAGCCTGTCGAGTCCTAGAAAATGACAGGAAAGTATTCCATTTCACTTCTGTAAGCAGAGTCTAAAGTTTTACCCAGAGATAACATGGGTGTCTCCAGGTAACCAAAAACATCTGCCCTGAACAAAATATATTGGTGCAAATCAGGGTCATTTCCAGGTTTTGAGAGGCCCCAGGCAGAGAGAGCACAGGGCCCCCATACCCTCCCCCACCCACCCATCATCATGTACCTCATCTGCTTGTGTGTCCCCCCCCCACCTGCTTGCAAGACCTCCAACCTTCCATGCATCTGGAGGGGGGGGCGGAGGGGAGAGGCACTAGCAAGAAGGGGTGTTTGTCATGAGTCCTCTTGAAGCTGATTCAGGCACTGGTGCAAATAAATGATGATAATTTCACCTGATCTTGGCTGAAGCAGGTAGCACTGACATGCAAGGGACCAATCTGCATGCAGAGACCAATTTAGAAGAGATTACTGTTCTGCTCCTAGCTCCCAAGAAGGGTTGGAGATACAAGATAGTCAAACCCTATTTCCAACCAGTTCGTCTTAATTAGTGATCTGGTTCAGCTTTTGTAAATTTGCTTTTCTGCAACATGTGATCTAGCCGATAGGTCATGCCGGCTCCGGGGAGATCCGATGCCAGCTCCATAATTACGGGGTCGTTCTCTCCTTCAGAGAGGAAACTCTTGAGAGTCCCTTGGACTGCAAGAAGATCAAATCAGTCAATCCTCAAAGAAATCAACCCTGACTGTTCCCTGGAAGGCCAGATAATGAAACTGAAGCTCAAATACTTTGGCCACCAAATGAGAAGGGAGCACTCACTGGAGAAGACCCTGATGCTGGGAAAGATTGAAGGTCAAAGAAGACGGGGACGGCAAAGGATGAGATGGTTAGACAGTGTCATAGATGCAACGAACATGAAATTGAGCAAACTTCAGAGGACAGCGGAAGACAGGAGGGCCTGGCGGGATCTGGTCCATGGGGTCGCGAAGAGTCGGACTCGACTGTGCGACTGAACAACAACAAAGTATTAAATTTAGTAAAGATCCTATCATAGTTAGGCTAGCAGTTGGAGGCAAAGCCTTCAACAACCTCTCCCTGTAGAGGCAGGAAAAGAACTGAAGAGGGGGCGTTCCCGATCCATACAAGAAGAGGAAGAAAGAAATGTGTTCCTTCCTCTCCCTGATAGGATGGTGGGAATCACCCAAGATGTCCTTCTTACTTCAGAGTAGAAGGACCCCTCACGGTAAGTGCCAAGGGTTGTTCTGCAACATGTGATCTAGAACAGTTTGCTTAGCTCCTGGTTTTCCTTCTGTACGCTGTGGGCTGACTGGTGGTGGGGATGACCTCCCTCCTTGGCGGCCCTGGGAGTTTCACCTAAGCAGCCTTCGTTCCACTTCACCCATGAGCTTTATGGCCTGGGCAGGTACCTGGTTTCACTGCAGCACCAGATGATGAGCTAAATCTCCATATCTCTACCTCTAAAATGGTCTGCTGCCAAATCAGATTTCTGTAGAGGATACTCATCCATGCTCTTCTTTTTGCAAAATGGGAAGACGACGACGACTGAATTTGGCCTAGCGGCTACCAGTTTCTAACCCCTATTTTTGTGACTTTACTATTATTTGCAGAAATGTGCACCCACTCGATAGACCTGCTCGAAGTGGCTCACAAGTAAAAAAAATACCATAAGAACAACAATGATGAATGATCAACATTAAAATCAAGCCATTAAATACAAACCAGGGACATAAAAATAAACACCATCTGCACAAATAGTCCTTAGGCTAGAAGCAAACTGTAGAGGAGTTAAAAAAAACCACAAACCCAAAAACCTTGGTTAGTTAAAAGCCTGAGTAAATATGAATGCTTTGGCTTGGGTGTCTAAAAGACAGGAAGGTCGGTGTCAGGCAAGCCTCGATGGG